TGCAACATATTTCAATAAGAACATAACTGATCCATTAACTCTATAAGACCAATTCGAACAAAATAACAACATTTTGCTCATATTATATGTCTCACAATGACTACTGTATAAGTTCCATTTCTGCTCCCACTCTCTCTCTCTCTGAGGATTTCTTACCAAAACTAATTGAGGGTATAATCACAATCACCATTTATATATAGATATACATATAAAATATTAAATAGTTTTTTATTTGTCTACGATTATATATATATATATATATAATAATATCTATATCTAATGTCCATGGGCAGTCAAACATTCTAGAGTCCTTGACCAAAGAGGTGGCTATATATAATCCTAAAACGAAAGTGTTTACATCGAGACACAGACATGTACTTTTAAATTTTGGGTACATTCCGAGTATATGGATTGGGTTAATAATTCAAAACTTATTACATTCTGAACAGAATGCTTTTATATTTCTAAAACCTCCAATATAAAACCTTGAATTTTCGTAAGTTGATCTTATTGACTGGTATTCAAAAGGTCATACCCTATAAAATAAGAAGGGTTTTCTATACTAAGACCTATGTGTTTTATCTAAATTATGGAGACACCCCTACATCAGAACATTTTGACCGTTATAATTTTGAGTTTTCATAAAGATTACAAAAGAATCCCCTCCATTAGTCAAATCTGCGTGTTAGTTATTTCCATTTAATTCTTTGATTTAGTTTAGTTCAATTCACTTCGAACGGTGAGCACAATTTAAATTTGTATTTGATAAGCAAGTAATTCGAATATATTTTCTATTTAAATTGAGTTAAACTGTCTAACTTATAGCTCTCCTCTTAAGTTTAACCGTTTAAATCATTTTTAGAGAGTAAGAAAGTGCACACAATCTTTGCTTTTTTTTTTTTTTTTTTTTTTTTTAAAAACCACCAATCTTTGCTTTTCATACCAACAAAAAAGCAAATTCGAATTTTATTCCTTGTTCAATTTAAAATTTTAATTCTACATTCAAATAATAATTCAAACTAGCAAAAATAGTGGAATTTTATATTGTATTCAAAGCTATATTAATTGACTGCTTAATATCACTTATAGTTAAAATCATGCATAATAGTCAACACACATTAAAATATCCAAATATCAAACACACACACATATACACATATATATGATACTACTAGATTATCAAGTATATATGTTTCAAAACATACCAATTACCAAACATCCAAAGAAGGTCTTAACAGCCATCACCGAACAAAATTTGTTTCTCGTCCCAGGTTCAATGTAATACTGCAACATATTTCAATAAGAACATAACTGATCCATTAACTCTATAAGACCAAATCGAACAAAATAACAACATTGTGTCCGTATTATATGTCCCACAATGACTACTGTTCATATCAATGATTAACTGTATAAGTTCCAACCACACAGTAACATTTCAAAACTTTGATAAAATCATCTACTCATCCAATTAAGGTCACTTTAGTCTCCATAAAAAGCTTATTAAAGATACTAAAACATATCAAAAATCTAGATTTATCAACATGCCAGAACTTATTTAAAAATTAGAGTGTTAAATTA